CCCCGCCCTGCCCTGGCCCGGGCGTGCCCCGCGGCCCACCACCTCCCGCGGCAGCCCCGACCCGTTATGCCTGTTATGGCTGATTTTCGATCCGCGGCGTCGTTGTTGTAGGCGAGACCGTAGGGGAGGGGGTGGAAGGGGGAGCAACAGCGGTCCTGCCGGAGTTATGGGGAGCCTTGAATTGGCAGCCCTGCTGGGCGTGCGGTACCGGTGCCGGGGCGGGGCCCGGGCCCCGTGCGCCAACAGGCTGATGACTTGACGCAGATAAGCGCCCCCCCCCCTCCCTCCCCCGGTGTGGGTCGCTGGGTCGGTCCGCGCCGCGACGGAGTCCCCGAGGTGCAGCGGGAGGCTCCGCCGGCTCCGCGGTCCGCTCCGGCGGCAGAGTGGCCATTGACCCTCCGAGCTGCAGCGCAGCGGCGGCTGCAGCGGCGCCCAGCCCAGCGCGCGGCGTGGAGGGGGAGGTGGGGGCGCCCAGGACAGGTCGACCCCCCAGGGGGCGCGGGAGGGGACTGCAACGGTACCGTAGTGTGCAAGGGCCCGGCGGGGCCCCGCGAAGCAGCGCGCGCAGCCAGAGGGCCGCGCCAGCAGCGCGCTGCACTAACCCTGCATCCTCCGCTCCATCAGCCGGCATGGGAACCTCCCTTAAGGTCGATGTCGTGGGCAATAACGGGCCTCTGTCCGTCCGACCTGAGGCCCGACCCGACCCGAAGGTCGAGGACCTCGCGCGTGAACCGAGCCGTTTAATCTTCGCTGTTTGGAGAACTGTTTTTGCCTAGAAAGAAGACGATCGGAAATCGGGACCATTGTTTCGCAATTTATTTTTATCTTGTCCTCATCTGCCTGACTTGAATCGATACCCAGAGTCAATTAAAACACGACGACTGTAGTTCCGATCGCAACACAATCGAGTGCACTTTTTTGTTGTTTAGCGCTGTCGCTGCTGGGTCCCGGTCACTTGCTCTTTTTTGCCTTCTTTGCGGCGCTGCGCTGGATTCCTTCCCTTTACTCATTTTTTCCCCTCTTTTCCAATTTGCAGTGTCGCCGGACATGGTCCAGGACGTGCGCATCGACTGCAATAGCAACGAGATCGCCGTGTCGATCGGCGGCGACCTGGACGCCAGCTCGCTGTTCGACGGCATGGTGTACCCGCGGGGGCTGTCCAAGAACTCGTCCTGCCTCGCCGAGTTCAGGCGGCACAAAGGCCCGCTGCGCTACCGGCTGCCCCTGCGCTCGTGCAACACCATGAGCACCGACCTGGTAAGTACCAGAGGAGTGAATAAACACTTTAAGTATACCAAACACATTTCATGGCAATTTTATTTTCAAAACTTTCAAGAGAAATCAGTGCTATTGAACAATTATTCAAGAAAATATTTACATCTTCTTTTTCTGTAAATTTTTTTAAAGTTCTTTGACATTTTTTACAATAACAATTCCCGTTAAAAACACGGTTTTACATACACACTTAACTGAGCCTCGCTTTGCGCCTGGACGGCCCAGCTTGGCACACCCATTAGCACGTCTCGTCTCGGCGGCGCGGCCAGCGCGGCTCGGGCCACTCCTCCCCATACCGAACGATGAGCGAACATTGTGCAAGTCGCGAGGGGCAGAGTGTGACTTTGGGCCCCGCGCAGCTGCCGCAGCTGTTCGAGGAAGCAGTGTATGTGTGCGGGCGCGGTGTCAAGGTCCTCCCGGCCCCCCTTGAGGACGGCCCGGCGCGGCTCCGGCCGCCAGCTGCAGCTGCCATGCAGCTGCTCAGGTGTGCTGTGCTGTGCTCTGCTCTGCCCGGCGCGGCCGCTCCTTGGCCGTGGCGCGGGATGCCTCGCGGGCCGCGGCCGCCGGCCGCCCGGCAGCAGCTGCAAGCTGTCGGAGACGTTGTTTATTCCCGCGCCGATTGCTTCACACCGCCCGGGTGGTCGCTCCGCTCGCTCGAGAATCGCTCCGCACCGAGCACCACCAGGGGAGACACGCCCGCGCTGCCCGCGCGCACCCCGTCCAGCACGCCCTCCTCCTCGCCGTCCTCCTCCTCCACCACCACTACCGCTTCTTTCCTGCGAGTGAGGAATTTAGCGCCGCGGTTTGCTCATCACAGACACGACAGTAAACGCGGCGGCGCGACAATGTTGTGGTCTCGGGGGGCAGGGGCAGGACCCGGAGGGGGGAGAGGACAGGGAGGAGGAGGAGGAGGAGGAGGAGGAGGAGGACGGGGAGGAGGTGCGGCGCGCGGTCCCCCGGCCCCCGGCCGAGCCACGGCGGCGGCCTTGTTGCAGCCAACGCGGACCAAACATGGAGACACTTGCAACAGCCCGGGCCGGGCCGACCAGGTCGCCGCGCCGTGTGTGAGGGGGGAGGGGGGGGGAGAGTGCACCAGGCCGGATACACGGAAAAAACGAGTCGGTTGCGTTAACCCGTAACTCGGTTCTCACAACCGAGTCGCGTAGTTACTTTTGGCGTTACTAGAAAGTTGGTTGTGTCAACTATACTTTTTAGTAAAGGTAGCCTGGTCATAGCAACTAACACGGGATGGTTATGGCAACCGAGTGACCTTAGTTCGGATAACCGAGTTACTAGTGACGAAAATAAAATTTTAAATCTTCTCGAGGCACTTCCGCCTCGTTCCCTCACCCTTCCGAGCGAAGTGACCATCTTGCTAACCCAGTAAGGCCCTCACGGAGGCCTCATGTGTTCGCAGCGGTCGGGACTTGAACCCCGGCCGCTGCGACTGCGAGACCTCCGCGATACCACTAGGCTGTCGCGACGCGTACGAGGGAGCGTGCCGGACAACGACCACGTGCCGCTGCCGACGCGATCCCGGAGCCACCCGGAGCGGGCGGCGGCGGCAGCGGCCGGGCGGCGGCGGGGAGTGGGGCAGGTGGGGGAGTGGAGGGGGGCTAGCCGAGGCGCCCCGGATCCCGAAGTGCAACCGATGGCTTGGTTGCAACAACCATCTCGAGTTACAATCTGAAATAGTTGTGGCAAACGAGTCGCCTGGGTACCAACATCCCAAAATCAGTTCGCCCAACTAATTCCGATGGTGGCCCCAACTAGCAGCCGCCAACCGGCAAATATGCCGGTTACCCCAACCAACCTTTTTTTTCCGTGTAGAGGGGAGACATTTGTTATCGCGTTAACTCGTTAAATTTATCAATGCGACGCAGTATATTTTCTCGCTTTGATAAAAATTATTAATATGAAAATCAGACGTCGCCTCTTTCGCAAAAGTTTCCGTCAGGGTGGGAAGATGTAATATCTCAGCTCGTGTAGGAAGACGCCCGGCTGTGCCAGGCTCTGCCCACCGCGGTGGCGCTGCGTACAAAAAGGCGACGGCCGACGGCCCATTTCTCATTCATTTAGGACCACGTCGCGTCTGATAGCATCGCGGGGACTTGCGCCACGGTAGCGGCGGCTCGTCGTGGGACGGGACGGCGTGAGCGCCGCGTGGGCCGCGTCCAGCACCCCGTCCAGCATCGAGTCCAGCGCGTCAAAGAAACTGCGTCACCCCTCTAATCCTCTGCTCCGGCTGCTGCTAGAAGGCCGGGGGCCGGCCACCCACCGAGGCGCGGGCCGCCGCGGCGAGGGTTGTAGCTCAGGCTTTGCACTGGTGTGGCCCCGCGCCTCCTGCACCCGCTGCCCCCGCCTCCGCCTGGCGCCGCGCGCGCGAGGACCCTGTCGGATGTCCTGACGCGGACATCCGGTGTCGGGAGGGTCCATCCCACACCTCTGCCCTAGCAGTTCTGCCCGCGGGGAGGTGGGGGCGAGGGGTGTGCACTTACCTGCCTTCTAACACCGCCACCTGGCCTTGCAGAAGGCGAATTTATTACACTAAGATTGAATCCTCCTCAAAACCAAAACTGTTCTCTGAGTGTTGGCGACCGTCGGGTGGAGGGACGGCATCGGGCAGCCCGTCGGTACCGCAGCTCCACCTCCGCAGGGGCGTCGTGGTAATTGGGCGTCATTGTGTTTCAGAACGATGGAGGCGTCGAGTACTTCAACACGATCGTGGTGCAGCCGCACCGGAAGTTGGTGACGAACCAGGGGCGAGGCTTCCACATCCGGTGTCGCTACCAGACGAGGGACAAGACCATCTCCAACGCCGTCAACGTCAGGTGAGTCGGGGGAGGGCGTGGCGGGCGTGCTATTGTGTCCTCCGGGCGTCCGCCCCGCCACGCCGCGCCGCCACCGCCTCGCCGGGGGAAATATGAGCGACGACCCCGCGACAGGACAGCGCGGCGCGTGGGAAATTAAGGAAAAAGGAGTTGGTGATTAATGTTCCTTGTCGTTGCAGCACGGCTGAGCCCACCCCTCTGACGGCCACGGCCCCGATGCCCGGCTGCAGCATGAAGATCTTCTACGGCGACCCCGACCAGAAGGAGGTGGCCGAGAACGTCAAAATTGGCGACCCCCTGACGCTGGCCATCAACATCGACGACCAGCCCCTGTACGGCCTCCGCATCTCCGACTGCCTGGTGCGCGACGGCCTGGGCTGGGGCGAGCAGCGGCTCATCAACGCCGAGGGGTGAGTCGGGCGATGCGCCACGGGCTGCCTTTACTATGCAGGACACCGAGACTAATGTGACCACCTCGTTCCAGGTGCCCTGTTGACAACGAGATCATGGGCCAGTTCGAGTACTCCGAGTCCAAGACGCTGGCCCAGGTCAAGTTCCAGGCGCACAAGTTCCCGTACACCGCGTCCGTGTACTACCAGTGCAATGTGCGCCTGTGCCTCAAGACGGACAACGGCTGCGACGACTCGGTGAGTGGCGGGGGTGGCGATGCGTGGCGGCGGGGAGGCCGAGCAGGTCCCCGGGCTCGCGGGAAAAAACGATGTGACACGCGCCAATCGGAGCGCGGCGGCGAGCGCGATACGTTTCCGTTTTCACCCCGCGGCGCGCGCGGGCAGTGGCGTAGCTGAGCGCGGGCTGACGGTGATGTCCTTGTGTCGTTGCAGCCGCCCGCGTGCGACGGCTCCAGGAGGAGGAGGCAGGCCGCCGACGGCGCGGCCGTGGCCAAGGACGGCGAGGACGGTAGCCCGGCCACCATCGAGGTGTACTCGGGGCTGTACGTCAACGAGGCCACCGACCTCAACAGGGCCGACCTCCTCGACGACGTCTCCAGAGAGAGGGTGAGTGCAGAGGGTGTGTGGTGGTGTCCCAGTGGTGTCTCATCTGGCACCTATGCAGTGTCGGCTGCGTACCTCCCAGGGGGTTTGGTCACGGACAGTATGTTGTTTCCTGTCGCAGGCGTCCGACGACCCGAACAGCATATGCATATCGCAGCGCAGCTTCGCCATCGGCATCGCGGTGGCGGGGCTGATCCTCATGCTGGCCGTGCTGGCGGCCATCCTCATCCTGCTGGCCAAGCGGCGCCGCAAGACGGCCTCGACCAGCGGCTCCTCGATCTACTCGGGGCCGTACACCAACACGGCGTACAGCCGCAGCAGCTAGCCGCCAGTCAGCCGCCAGGCGGCCGGGAGCCAGAGCCACGCCTCGGCGAGAGGATCTAAGTCATTGCACCAAGAGCCATGGTCTTGAAAAGGCTTTCGTTCAGCAGCCATTCAAACCACTTTCCAATCAACAAAAAAGGGGGGGGGGGGATAACAATTTTAGTTGTGTTTATTTTGTTTCAGTGTTATGATTGCATTTTTGAGTTCTTTTAACCAATTTATTTTCTGTGCTGGGTCGGTGCTGCTGAAATGACTGCCTTTTCACACTGGCCTAAACTGCAACCCTCATCATGAGTCACTTTTCTCGATCCTGCAGTTGCAGAATGTTTTTTTTTTTCTCTACTTGGGTCGCCTCTTGTTGGTGTTGGTTGTGTCATTTTCTAATTAGATATCAGTTTGGTGTCAACTGCAGTGATTGATTATGTGGATGATGGTTGCTGGTTTACATGGTCACAAGACAATTATTACTTAATAAATTGATGCTGGCAGCTCACTCCAATTTTAATGTGAAAGTATGGTGTCTGCATGGTATTCTTACTATGCAATTAGTCGAGACAAGTTCCTTCGAAATGCATTGGGAGCAGTCAGCTTACTCAAAATAAAAAAGTGCCACCAATTAACCATCCCTGAGCCAATTTTTTGACTTAGCAGGGTTCTTAAAGTTTATTGTTTTGTTCATGACTGTTGGTGTTCTCTGTATTTTTTATTAGTGTCTTTCTTTCATTGTACTTAGTTTGTCTGTATGAATGATGCTTAAGTGCACTGTGATGATCTTCCAGCAAAGAGTTTGAGATCTACATAAAGGAGCTAACATCCTTCATGTGCCCACAAAGTACCTAATATACATGATAAGGATCTTATAATGAGAAGAAAGTATCCCCTCTGTAGGTATTAGTATAGTACAGTAAGAGTTTACATACTACCTCATATTTGCTTGGAAATACCCTTGTGGATGGTCACAAAATTATTTGTTATATTTTTTTTTTAAAGATTTTTTTTTTTTTTTTTTTGCCCACTTAATGGGTTTTCTTCTCAAAACGATTTTCTTGTTGAGGAGAAAAACTCATTCAATTTTATCTTCAAATTAATATTTGAAAATTGTGGACACATGATTACAAGCTCGATGCTATTCGCTAATACCTACAGCTTGAAAGTTAGACTATTATTTCTGTCTCTTGAAAGTGATAAAATTTTAGAGTGCATGTTTGTTCTTGACTCACTGTGCCATAAGAGGCATGAAATGTTACATTGCATTTCATGTGTGCATCAGATTTATTTCTTTTTAACTAATTAACATTAACTAAATGTGGATGAATGAACCTAGTGTAAGTAGGTAGATACAGATGTACAACAGGTAACATTTGACAACGGTTATTTTTTTTTTTCATTTTTTTTTGTAATATTTTACATTTTTAGCTGTTTGTCACCTGTTATCAAGGGACAGCATGCTTTCCCATCCCTTTCTGGAAGCTTTGCTGTCCCTGGTTGACCCAAGAATTCAATTTCTAAGTGTAGTGTAGCTGCTCTGCAACAAACTTTTCCATAAATTACCCTCCCTGTGGTGACAGAAAGAATCTTGTTCCCCATTCCTTCAATCGAAATAAGTGATCTTTGTTCTGCTTTGAAAAAATGCAAGTGTGCTGTTTTTGCTCACTTTCATGGGGTCAAGGTGGTGGAATCAATCTGCGATATTATAGATAGAAAAGTAAATTTTAGTCTCCCTTACATCTCCATGGTCCTCAGCTTGTTTCATGATGTTTTCATTTTTGTGTGATTGCCAATCATTCCTTTTATGAGCTACCCGTAATGATGATGTCCATGGAAAAGTAGAGTAGATTCATCAGCTTGGATAAGGTGATGTGGCACTAGTTACGTAATTTGGCACTGGTTCATAACTCCAACGAAATATTTTATGCTTGAATGTTTGAAGAATAAGTGTTTATTAATATTTGTGAATGCTAAATTCCAGAGGGTGCTGTTGTGTATCAAACTTTTTTTTTTTTTGTTACTGATCTGAATCTGTGATCAAATTATTTTCTTGTTAAAAAAGATTTTTAGAGTAGGTATTTAAAACATTTTTAACTGTGTTGACTTTTAGTACCCATTATGTATTTTTAGTTTTTGTTTGAAAAGTCAAAGAATTTAGACTTTGAATGTTATGAAATTTCTCTTGTAATGGCATGTGTTTTGTTACCAATTTGTGGAATCAGATTTTCTTCAAATGCCTTCTTTAGTAAAGGTGCCATTGAGTGAAGTATGGGTTAATATTTTGTTGTTGACAGAAACAATTAGCCCTGGGTAAATGATGGTATCTGAACAGTATTACTTCAATGTTGATGTGAGAAATTCGGCCTAAGTATGTGTGTGAGTGTATGTGTGCGCACTGACTGAATGTATGCATGTCAAAAGAAATGGAACCATAACTACATTTTGAGTGGGGATCTGGACCTTTGCCTAAGCAATAATTGAATGTATTGTTTTGTATATAAGATTTATCATTTAAAAGATCTAGTAAAACACATCACTGACAATAGAACTACTTCTGAGAATTAAAGTAGAAAATTTTGGACTGTACTTAATAACATTCTTACTAAAGTCCTAATGTATAATTATATGCGCCATAGGAAAAAAATGAACCTCCGTATTTGGTGCTTACTCATTTTGATTGATTTAGAAATGAACAGAGAGCAATAAGAATGAGGTATGGTTGCTCCGGGATTCAACAGAAATACCATGCCTGAACATCACAACCCTTCTACTGGTTTTCAGAGATAGTCTGCACAAACAATTAAAAGACTTGTGATATTCTGGCATATGTTCTTCCCACTTTATCCCATACCATAAAAATACCTCATTAAAAATGTTGTCAATGCTAGGAGCACAAAACTTTTCTAGTATATCTGAGACATTTCAACTCGTACTTCACTGTCCCTATGCAACTATTTAATGCTCAAATTTATGAACTTCTTGATGTTTAGAACAGTGGCTATTGTCGATAAATCTCAACTAGAATGTTAAGCCTTGTTGAAAGTGAAAAATAAAAACATGGTGCTTAATTTATTAAGTCCGTCTTCTTCATTTATTGCAGAGGAAAGACAATCACTAATAATTTATTTCTACATTTTCTGACTTACAGCTCCCAGAGTATGTCGAAAAATTGACGTCCCCGTTTGTAGCTACACGGTTGTAGTTACAGCCGACAGTGCCCGAGTCAGCTTAAACTGAACCGTCTACAGACGCATTCATTACTTCTACCAATGCTAGAATATCAACCACAAGTAAAGACGAAATCGAAAGATATCACTGCCTCTCCGCAGCTCTGCTTTCGCCTTGTCCAAGCGCTCGCAGGGACAGGGGGCCGCGGGGGCCCGATTCAGGAAAGCATTGCCTACTCTCCAGGCGTTTTCAGCGACAATCATCGACCCACCCCTAGATTGACACGGCGTCACTTCTTAGCTTTAGAAATGATTTAGCCTGAGGTCAAAACGAGCCTAAACCCAAAGTCCCCGTCACGACAGACGCCTTAGAGAGAAGCCGTGGCCTACCTCTCATGCGTCCAAGCGACAACTCGTGTCGCGGCGACAAGTGGTAGTAGACACTTCCCTGTTCATGGACACAAAAATGTGGTTACAAATGGGGCAACATACGATGTCCGACGCCACCAGCCACACGCCCCTTTTGTAGCTTAACAG